GGCCTCAGAAAACCAGCAGCCACAAGTCCTGCTCCTCTTAAGGGACGCAACTAAGTTTTCGCATATGGTTTTCTTCCATGCTCCACTTTTTATAAATATGCAAAATGTGCCTATTCCTTTGGATTCCAGCTGAAGCTGTTCCTGCACCTTCGGAGCACTAGCTATCTCCTATACCTGTCCCATACCCTCCAACATTTCTCTCATGCAAATAGGAATGTCTTATTCCATTATTATTATTATTATTATTATTATTATTATTATTATTCTGACTTGGTTGTCCAGCCACGCTGGGCAGTTTCCAAACATATACAAAAACATAATAAACACATTAAATGTTAAACACACCACTTCAGTATCATGTCCAATGCTCTAAGGTACAGCTTTTCAGACCGGCGAGAGCCGATGGATCTGCATAGGTGCAAGGGCCAGCCAGCAGGGAATCAAACACATGAATATTCCCTGTGTTAGACGGTAAGGGTTGCAAATATGTGCACCAGGAAGGGGCATGGGGTTCATCAGCCACGACACCCCACATTCCTGCAGTTCACCTGAACTGGCCAGGGGGGAGTGAGGTTAGGGCTGTGCAGACCCACAGGTGGAGCCAATCCAGCTCTTCCACCCGTGTCCACACACAGCCCCAATCTCACCGCTGCCTTATCCAGGTAAGCTGCGGCAGCGCCTGTATTGGGGGTGCAGCTCTGCCCCATGGCACCAACCACGACTGATCAGGGCAGACATTTATTTCAACACTAGCATGGTAATTTGGGCTTCTTGTGAGACTTCTGGAATTGAATGAAAGGGAAAAAAATAAAAGTAGGCATTCCCTATTTGTTTTCTACTACACAGCTATGGTGTTGCTAAAACGATCCCAGGCTCCTGTCTTCAAAGCTGAATTTTAATTTTCTCCTTAGGCAAGCCAGAAGAGGTAAGTATGAATTATATTTATCCGTAGAAGCCATTATGATGATAGCAAAATATTATTGCTTTCTTTAACACATTATATAGATTGGAAGTCCATAAAAGTTCATAAAAAGAAAGAAAATGAATATTGGGGATTGCTCAACTCTGCCCTTAGCCTCCAAAATAAAGCCTGCCCCACAATAAATGCTGTTTGCACCTATGGCTCCTGGTATCAGTTTTCCAAATCCGGGATGGTGCTTTCAAGGACGCAATTTCAGCCCCATTTTTTCTGATCCTTATGAAGAACTGCTCCCTTTCCCTCTTACCAAATAAATTTCCACGGCGGCAGGTTTGATCCCCAGATGGGCCAGCCATATATTCCTGCATTGCAGGGGGTAGGACTAGATGATCCGCTGGGTCCCTTCCAACTCTACAATTCTGTGATTCTTATGTTCTCAAGCTCCCCTGATGCCAGTCAGGTGTGGCCACTCCGTTTCCTCAAGTACTTGAGGAATGGCAGCCTGTCATAAGAGGATGACAGCTGATGGACAGCAACAAGCCTCTCCTGTCTGCTGGGATTCCCAGGCGGCATATGCTGTGCCAGGTCAAATCTGCCTGTTCCTTATAGGTAAAGGTAAAGGTACCCCTGCCCATACGGGCCATTCTTGACAGACTCTAGGGTTGTGCGCTCATCTCACTCTATAGGCCGGGAGCCAGCACTGTCCACAGACACTTCCGGGTCACGTGGCCAGTGTGACATCGCTGCTCTGGCGAGCCAGAGCCGCACACAGAAACGCCGTTTACCTTCCCGCTAGTAAGCGGTCCCTATTTATCTACTTGCACCCGGGGGTGCTTTCGAACTGCTAGGTTGGCAGGCGCTGGGACCGAGCAACGGGAGAGCACCCCGCCGCGGGGATTCGAACCGCTGACCATGCGATCAGCAAGTCCTAGGCGCTGAGGTTTTACCCTCAGCGCCACCCGCGTCCTTATAGGTATAGCCATCTAATTCTAGCTTGCAAAAGGAAGTTTCTACCCCAAGTATCTGCCAGGGAAGTAAAGGGTCTGGAAAGGTGAACCTCGCTCAGAGCAGCCAAGGCTGCATCACTTGGGAAGATAATACTCTTAGTATTTCGTATCCATCTCTTCATAAACAACACAACAGGGTGTCCTTTCAACCAACTTGAGATGATAGAGGGGAGCTAAGTTTCAACCATTTATTTTATACACCTTTGATTTTCACAAATTTAAGCAGGTGTGTTAAGTCTAAGAGCTCCATTCTCAATAGCCTTTCCTAACTCAAAAAGCTGGCGTGCTTTTTCCACGGCAGAAGTTTGGTGGGTCAAAAGTGTCAGAGCCTCCCTTACTCCGATTCTGCATCTTCCTATAGGAATCCTGAAAAGGAATCGTGCCTCTGAGGGACCACACCTTCAGCAGTGCTTGGGAGAAGAAAGAGGGAAGGGCAGGTCTCCTCCTTCCACCATTGAGATATATAAGAGAAAGAGAGCTCTGTACAAGTGCACAATTCCAGTTCTGATGCAGGTTAAGAAGTGGGAGGAAACATGGCGGGGAAATGTCCCTAACTCAGGGCTCTACCTTGCACTTTTGACTATGATGATATACCAAGGGACGTTCAGTGCAGGATCCTGCTTCCGCTCCGGTTGCTTGAATAGAAATGGGGAGACTTTTTTAAAAAATGATTTTCTATGTTTCCCTCCCTGCTGCTTAAGGGTTTTTTTTCAGGCTAGAAGGAGAAAGATTATCCCCACCCCAGGCTAGGTGGGGATCATGTTAATTTTTTAGGACAGTAAGGGAGGTGTGTGAAAAGGGAAGCGCGTGCACAGGCTGCACGGACACTGCATTTTGAAAGCACGCGGGCAGCAGCCCGGTCTTGGCCGCAAAGAATTCTGGGCGTTGTAGTTTCCCCCTGGCAGAACTCCCATTCCCAGCAAGGGACTCCGCCCCTTGGTCCCCGCTCCTCTCTCGGAGGAAGGGGAGCCGGAGGGGCCCCGGGAGGCGGGCGGCACGGAGGCGAGAGACCAGGGACAGGACCCCCCCCAGAAGGTGGCTGGGGGTTCCCTTGGGCTCCCCCCAGGGGGTGGGGTCTGCTCTGCTGCTAACGGCCCCCCAACATCTGGATCCTTCCCTTTGCCTCTCGCCCTGCCTCCTCCAGCGGTGCCCGGGGGGGGGAAAGCAGGGGGCTCTTCACTCCTCTAGGCAAGGGGGGAGAGGCACCATGCTTGCCCCCCCCTGGTCCTGCGCTGGGGGGATAGAGGGGCTGCTTTCCTGGCAGAGAGCCTCCGGTCCAGCCCCTGGGTTTGAGGGCGGGGGGCCATCGCTGCTGCGAAGTGTAGTGCTTGGACTCGTTCTTCCAGGGGCGCCTCCCTTGGCCAGGACTCCTGCTATCAGCATCCCCACCCCAGAGACCATGGACGAGACACTCCAGAAGAGGCACCCCCAAACTCGGCCCTCCAGCTGTTTTGGGACTACAACTCCCATCATCCCTGCCTAACAGGACCAGTGGTCAGGGATGATGGGAATCGCAGTCAAAACATCTGGAGGGCTGAGTTTGGGGATGCCTGCTCAAGAAGGTGGTTCGGGGTCCCCTTGGCCTCCCCCCCTCTTCCGCGGCCAGGGGGTGGGGTCTGCTCTGCTGCTAACGGTCCCCCTCCCCAATGGCTGGATCCTTCCCTTTACATCTCGCCCTCCCTCCTCCAGCTCTGCTTGGGCAGGGGGGGGGGTCTTCACTCCTCCAGGCAAGGGCGGAGAGGCACAATGCTTGCACCCCCTGGTCCTGCGCTGTTGTGGGGGGCAATCTGGCTCTGTGGATGGAGTGTCTGCTTTCTGTGCAGAGAGCCTCAGGTTCAGCACCTGGGAGTTAGAGTGGGCCAAGCTCCTGTCTAAATCCCTGGAAAGCTATAGCTGCTGGGAAGTGTAGTGGTTTGACTCGGGATAAGGCAGCGTAGTAGGTAAGGGGCAGAACCAGGTGCTATTAGTCAATTAGCAAAGTATTTTTATTTATTTACTTTATTTAGGGAGGCAGCTACCCCCCTGCTTATTTCTTATTTCTTCACTGTGCCTTATAAGATTAGTTACTATCTACATATCTGTAGATTCATATAATCCATATTTATCATGGCCACTTTATAACCATAAGGCTAAAATAGAAGGGGGGGGACCCCAATAAGAGGCTGGGATAGTATGAATGACCACTGGATGAAAACTGACTTCCCGAGGGTGAAATCCTAAACTGCACTTACCCGGGAGTAAGAGCCACTGCATTCAGCAGGACTTGCTTCTGAGTATATAGGATTGTGCTGGATGCTACCGCAATATTAGTGGTAGCAATTATTCTGAGATTATTCTCATCGTTTTACCTGGCATTCTTACATGTAATTACTTCTCCATCCATTTACTTCGGAGTAAGCCCCATGGAATTCACAAGGACTTAGTTCTGAGTAGACATCATTAAGTTTATACTGTTAGTCACTTCTTTGCATTAACTAGTCCATAGCTGGTGAGACACTTAAATCAAAAGCCACTCCTCTGTTGGTATGAATCCACAATCCTATACCCACTTATTTGGGAGTAACCCTCATTGAAGTCAACAGGGCTTACTTCTGAGTAGACATGCATAGGATTGTGCTGTAAATATGCCACACTTTCATGTTTTCCTTGTTCTTTCTTCCTCCTGCCATCTTCTTCCAGATCAGCCACTAAGGGGGCAGAAAGCACATATTATGCACAAATCTTTTTTGAAAAAAATCTGAAATTACTGGGTAAAACACAGTATGAAAGTTAAGAATGACATACCAATAGATCCATTTTCAGAGAAAACAGGGCAATTTTCATTTCACTCATTAAGCATGTGAGCACACAAACTTTCCTGTAGGAAACCAAATTCGAGCTAACGGTAAGTGCAATCTCAAGATGCAGAGAAAATATACAGTAGAACTGTTTGGGGGACTTTCTTATATACCCTGAACATATTCTTGGAAATGGACATTACCTTCATGTTTTCCTTGGTGTTTCTTCCTCCAGTCTCCTCCTGCTCTTCCTCGAGGTCTTCAATGATCAGGTCATCTGAAAGGAAAAGAAGAGAAGGCTGGCAGTTGGAGAGACTTTCTTATATACACTGAACATATCCTTGGAAATAGACATTACCTTCAGGTGGACTTTCCTTCTCTTTTGCCTGAGGCGGCCAGGAAGTACGTGGAGCCTACAGCGAAACAAAGAGCCACATGGGATATGATGATCTACAGCTCAAAATAGGCCTCAGACAGAGACCTTTCCTAAGAAATCTCAGGGACTGGAATCAACTTCTATAGGCTGAAAGGTTTTACCTTTGTGGTCCTTTTGAAAAGGGGTCCACAGGGGAAGGCGGAGGGGCAGGTGGGGCGCGGGGGGGAGGACTCGGGGAGAGGGCACACTTTATTTTTTTTCACCATCCGCGAAATCGCTCTTCGCAGTCTTCCAAGCCTAAAAAGGAAAGAAAAATGGGGCTTACAGTTAGTACTCTCTCATGCCTGTAAACCCAAGAGGAATTCACTATCCTCACAGAATGCAGATGCTGAGAGAAATCCTATTTACATGTCTATCTTCTTCCTGGAATAAACACGAAATGATCCAACCATAGGAGTTCACCAAGCCTTTTTGCACTCTGGTGACCAGTGAGCCAGCAGAGGGAGGTGTCACAATGGCTTCTGTAAATCTGGGGCTGCCCCTTGAAAATAGGGCCATTGGCAGGTGTCCTGAGGTGCCCAGATGGGAGACCACCAGGGAACCCATGATATGCTGCTTAGAATTATACAGGCAGAAGTATTACTTAAATAAATACATCTCTAGACACACTGTCCTTTTGGTCTTTTCTCATGCCTCCTGCTCATGAAAGTGCACCTTCGGGCCTGAGCCTCCTAAATAGCTCTACTTGGGTGTAAATTATTCTGCCCCAGTGGAAATTGGTTCCAAGTGAGCATCCTTGGGATTGTGGTATGAGGAACAGGACACTGCTGTCAAGAAAGGGGAGAGCTGGCTTGACTCAAGTTTGCCACGTGTTGGGGGGCTCAAAGAACAATCCCATGCTTGGGTGGTACATCTAGAAAGATTTTTAAAATGTGTGTGGCACGGTGAGGTGGAAGAAGATAAAATATATTGGAAAGGAAAGAGGACAACAACAACAACAAAAGAAAGTGTCCCCCCTTTTGAATTTTTTTTATTCATAATTATAACAAAACATATTCTCCAAAAACATATCATCCTTGTTTCCCCTCCCCATTTTTCCTCCCTCCCCCCTCCCACACAACCCCCACCCCCCGACTTCCCTCAGTTCCAGTCTTTGGTTTCTCTGAGACTGCTGTTTTCTGCATGTTACAAAGTTGTATAGATCCTCAAACTATTTAGCTGATTATTATCAATAAAAAGTTTGTGAATGTTTATTCAAAACCTGCCAAGGAGTCCAGTTCGCTTTGTGGCATCTTCAGATACTTTGTAAAGGGTTCCCAGTCACAGTTATCCTTGTCCCGTAGCTTATATGTCAGTTTTGCCAGTTCTGCATAGTCCGTCAATTTTTCTTGCCATGATTCTTTAGTTGGGGTTTCTTCAGTCTTCCATCCTTGTGCTCCCAAAACTCTCGCAGCCGTTGTCGCATACATGAAGATGTTTTTCAGCTTTTTTGGCAGGTCTTTCTCTACAATCCCTAACAAAAATGCTTCAGGTTTTTTAACAAATGTCAGATGAAACATTTTCTTTAATTCGTTGTATATCATTCCCAAAAATTTTAAATTACAATCCCACTGCATATGATAAAATGTCCCCTCCTTTTCCTTACACTTCCAACATATATTTGAACTAGTTTTATACATTTCCCCTAACTTCACTGGTGTCATGTGCCATCTGTACATCATCTTCATATAATTTTCCTTCAATAGGGAACAATCTGTAAATTTTAAATCAGTTTTCCATAGTTTTTCCCAATCTTCCATCATAATATTGTGACCTACATCTTGTGCCCATTTAATCATAACTGATTTTACCTCTTCATCTTTCGTCTCCCATTCTAATAGTATGCTGTGTGCGGCCTTCAGTAATTTCACTTTCCCTTCAATCACCTCTGTCTTTTACATCTGTAAGTATTTTATATTTTATCCTTGGCCTTTTGCCCCCCCCTTCCCCCCAGATAAATTTTGAAATCTCTTTCTGCCATTTTTTAAAACATCTTTCAGGATGACTGGTATTGATTGAAAAAGAAATCGCATTTTTGGCAACACATTCATTTTAATTGCCGATATTTTTCCTTTTTTGGTGGGGTGGAAAGTGTTTTTTAAGTAATATATGGGTGTATTTTAAAAATGGTAGTAATATTAATATTAATTAAAAATGGTAGTAATAATAATTAAGTAAATGGCTGAAGACTTAGAGAAGGGGGGAAGGGTTGATTTTTTTAAAAGGGGGTTAAAATATATGAAAGGGGGGGAGTTTATGTATTAAATAATAGAACATGGAGATGATAATAGTAAACAGTTTTGTACCACCTGGCTACAATAGCATCAATTATATGACAAATTTAACTCTGAAAATAAAATAGCTTTCCAAAAAGAAGAATCCAAATTGCAGATAGAACTTTTGAACAACACCCCCCCCAAAAAAAATCTATCAAAAATGTATAATCTATTACTTGAATGGGAACTCAAAGACGAACAAATAAAAGAAGTAATGATCAAGGGGGACAGGATTTTGGATACACGATTTCATTAGATGATTGGGAAAAACTTCGGAAATCAGATATTAATTTCACCGCATGCATTACTATCAAAGAAAACATTATGAAAATGTTTTACAGGTGGTACTTAACCCCTGTAAAACTGGCAAAAATTTATAAACTAACATCGAATCTGTGTTGGAGATGTAAGGTATCAGAGGGATCCTTATATCATGTATGGTGGGGATGTGATAAAATTAAGAAATTTTGGGGAAATATACATGAGGAACTGAAAAAAATGTTTTAAACAAAAATTGGTAAGAAGCTGGAAACATTCCTTTTAGGAATTATAACAAATGACACCCCAAAAGACATGAAAAGAATCTTTTTATTTGCAACAGTTGCCGCAAGATGATTGATTGCAAAAAATTGGAAATCAGAACATTGAAAGATTGGCAAAATAATTTTTTTGAAATGATTGAATTAGCAAAAATGACGGCAACAATTAGAATGCAATCTAATCAAAATCTCAAACAGGAATGGAAATGTGTAAAAGAATACATGACCAAAAGATGCTCCCACAAGAATTTATTGATATGTATAGACTGATTTCACAAAGTTAAGCTAAGCTAAGCTAAGCAGAGAATAAGATTGAATGTTTAATTATTAAGACACAAAATCACAATCTCAATAATAAAGCTACAAAATAATAACAAGGAAGTCATGTACAGGTGGAGGGAAGACACAGAGTAAGAAATAAGAAATAGATAAATGTTGGCACATAATGAAATGTGAAAATGTGAATTTACGAATATAATGTATATGTATCAATATGTAAAGATTTCATATATGTATTGCAACATTAATAATAAATAAATTGAGTGGGGCGGGGGGAATGAAGATGGTGTACTTGCAAAGTCTCACCTGACCTCACCTGCAATGCTTTTGATATTAAAGCTAGTTCTTTGGGGGGGAAAGAAACGGAGGGAAAAGGAAGGATGGTGATGGATCAGCATTCCTAACCCTGGCAAGAAGACGCAGCTCACAATAAATGAGCTGGCAAGAATGGAAGTTGGAGAGGCTGTGTTACAGCTTGCAGTTTGTTTGCAGTGAAAAAACTACAAGGCCAATTCAGGTGTAACATTAAGCCAAACCATGGTTTATCTCCACTAGTGCAACAGCACAGGGAAGAGGAGCAAAGTGGCCACTATCCTACATGGATCCCCTCACACATTCTCCTCATGGTGTCTGAATCTCTGTTGGATGAGTTGGCACAGACTTGTGAAATGAGTGCAGAGACTGAAACTGTCTTATGAAAACTTTTATCTGCAGCGGTTGCAGTTGGTCCCCTAAGCTATCAAAGCCATCACTAGATATTGTGGTCATAAGCTAGTTTTGGAAAGCTATAATGGGAAGACTTTGCCCTGAAAGGTTGGCAAAAAATACATTCACCCTCTGCACTCCCTTCATCAAGGTTAAGGTGAATATAAAGGTAAAGGTACCCCTGCCTGTACGGGCCAGTCGTGTCCGACTCTAGGGTTGTGCGCCCATCTCACTTAAGAGGCCGGGGGCCAGCGCTGTCTGCAGACACTTCCGGGTCACGTGGCCAGCGTGATGAAGCTGCTCTGGCGAGCCAGCACCAGCGCAGCACACGGAAACGCCGTTTACCTTCCCGCTAGAAAGCGGTACCTATTTATCTACTTGCGCTTAAGTGTACTTAAGCTAGGTGGGCAGGAGCTGGGACCGAACGACGGGAGCTCACCCCGCCGCGGGGATTCGAACCGCTGACCATGCGATTGGCAAGTCCTAGGCACTGAGGTTTTACCCACAGCGCCACCCGCGTCTGTAAATAAAACCATTCTTCCAATGGAAACATGAACCCTGGATAAGGGCGAAGACTCCTGGAACTTCACACCACTTGGCAGAGATTGGGGTGGCCCTTAACAAGATGTTCTCTTCACATGTCAATGGTAGAGAAAGGGTTCTGTCTTATTTTCTGTTGTTCACCCTCCGGAGCAGATCTGTGGAGCAGGGACAAGGAGAGAAGCAGCAAGGGTTGTTCTGTACACAAACAGAAGTTCTAGTGCTAGTGGAACTACTTCTCTGGACACCAGAGCTGACAACAAACTGGTAGTGCAATCCTATACATGTCTACTGAAATGTAAGGCTAGATGACTTCATTGTGACTTTCTTCCAGGTAAGTAATTGTGTGTTGGATTACAGCCTAAATCAAGCATTTGACCAGGTGAGTGCAGATGCTACTTAGTAGTTTTCACTGAGGCCATGAAACATTGAACAATGGCTATCAAAGATTGGGGGTAGAGGAGGGAGAGAGCTTGAACGTTGAGACCCACGGAATCATAAGCTTGGGAGTGTCCGGAACTATATTCGCGATCACTTCCACCCATTTTGTCTTGTCTGAGAATCTGCTATTGAGCACAGAGTTTGCACCAACAAGGGTATTAGGACTGGACAGCCTTCTCGCCCTCCCCACTTCTTACTACTCTAGGGATTGCTATTCTCGGGAATGTCAGGCGACCCCACCAACATTTTCTTTTGGATGCACACTTCAATTCACCTTTTACAATGTCAAGAAAATAACTCTACAGTGTTGAAGCGAGCATACCACAGGTATCAAGACTAGATGCTAGAAAGTGACTGATTTGTGGCTGAAACAGAATCCACTCTTGCTCTGACCCTTACCTGTCCTTCAGTCACAAATCCACTGATATAAATTCACAAGCTGTTTCATGTTACTTTGGGTAACACATTACCTGTTGTGGAGAAAGGCCTGTGAATAAAATACCTACTTCTCATTAAAAAAGAAGACTGCTATGGCTTCTAAACCTTGAGTTATAGAGTATTCACTGGCTGTGGGTCATGATGTTTGCATCTTGCAGGGTGATGAACCGCACTGGTTTGTTGACTGATTA